GGTATAACAAAAATTGGATCGTTCTTATTGTTTTCTACATTCACACAGACTAAATATACCCTTGTACAAGAAGTGATACGATTACGTTATGAGAATTGGCATCTGTTATGTTACATATCGAACGATAAGGTAGCCATCATATACGATACAATAAACCGTTTATTTATTCAACAATCAACCAGCGTCTTGCCTTAATATCTGAAGAATAATTATACTTTTGGAAAATATCAAATATTCTATGCGTTAGCAACCAATATAAACAATGATTCTGTATAAAATCAATGTTTCACTTTGCAATCAACTTATTTTGTTTCCAAAATGCGTTGATTCTTTTAATAAATAAAAATTATAGCGTAGATCTCAGGCAAAGTAATCGATAAAATGCATTGCATAGTACATTTTGTACAATAAAACAGATAAGAAGATTATAGTCGGACAAGTTCTACACCGTTTCGCCTAGTCCACTTACTCACTCGTTTTGTTAATAATACACCAAAGATTACACATTATCTTATGCAAAGGCATGGTTTTCATGAAAACCCGCATGTCGGAGGATGCTCAAATATCATATGGTGTAATTCAAATTTAATAAACTTTATTTACTTCTCAAAAAACTTAGTATTTTTCAATTTACGCCATAAAAAACTAGAAATTAGACTTTGCTTTTCTTCACAATAACTTCTATATGTGTTGGGGTCTAAAAAATGACTTTGTCTGGTCTAAGTTCCCTGCAGTTAATTTTTTTTGTTACCTTGCTCTTATGGATCAATTTTCAACATAAAATATTAAGAATTAAATCTTTTTCTGTAGGGTTTACTATTCATAAGAAATTTTACATGGAGTGGAGTCCAAAGAAATGACCATTAGTTAAATTACTACCATGAACAAATTTTCATTATATATTTTCTGAGAACACTTATATTCGGTAGTATCCAAAAAATAAACCTATGTGGTCCAAATTGAGTAAGGTTGACTTCTTTGTCAATTTAGTATAAACCAATTTCCACCATGAATTATTGAAAACTACACCTTTCTATTTTAAAAAGATTCACTTTTTATAAGAACGGTTATATGAAAGGGGGTTCAAAAAATTGCCGCAAGCGAACAAATTTTTTCCCACCAATTTAGAATATGGCACTATTATTATATTAAACAGACAAAAGGAGAGACTATACTTTAAACGATGCAGAAAATGATTCTGAAGCCATTCTGTTGTTATTATGTTCTCGTAGGACTCCTGTTGTCGTAAGTCGTAAATATGGCCAAACATTACTGCTGATGACTTCAAATTTGTATAACATCCCGCTGCGTGCCATTTAAAGATCTGCTGTAAAAAGAGTACTGATCGTTTAATTGACACAAAATTCATAACACGTGAGTGTGATTTTAATACATATGCTAAGGGTCGTGGCAATCCAATACTCTTCCTATTATATGTTCTTCTTCTTCTCTATTTATATGTTAATTTACTTTAGGCTCCTTAACTGAATTTCTTGTCAGCTCTTTTTATAACGCCAAAATGCTTCTCCTTTCTATTACAACCTTTCAAGCTTATCCCTTTACAGTGTAAAATTCTAATTAAATTCTGTTTAATTAAAAACATAACTACGACTTAGAAATGAAATAGTTTTACGGGAAAATTTGTAACACTTGCAAAAAAGAAAAAGATGTGATTCAGAAAACCCAATGCACAATTTGTTGATTACTTATAATTATTTCACTCAAGTACATTTCATTACTTCCTTTTTTTTATTATTGTTTATTCTTCGTCTACCATGAGTACTGTCACTAATAAGTCTTTCAAAGCCTTTTAACTAGCAATTTATTTTAATTAGAGGACAATTGTATCTTTTTTCACGGACTTAGAATATGATAAAATTTCTCTAAAATACAAGAAAAATTAAATAAATAAGAAAACCAAAAATAGAGACATGAACAAAAAAATTTTGTTTGATCAAAATTAGTTAACATATGAAAAAAAAAAGTACATAAGAGTAAAACAGTTACATAGAGGTTGGGGCGAATACTGAACATTTGTACAGATTTTTTATTAATTACGGCGACATCAATGGTCCCATTAGGATAAATTCAGCTCTGACCTTTTGAACGTTTTGCAATGTTTACATTTCAAACCAATATTTGAAGAAGATCGAAGACATTATCTTATTAATCGCAATTTCTATAATAGATTGAAATTTGCTTTTGGCTTCTGTTGCTCCCAAGACCACACTTATATCGACGAATGTAGCGATGGAGCAATACATCCCAGTCTAATACTTCCAGATTTTCTAGCACATAATAGGAATAAATACGAGAGTATGAGCTTGGCCTCAGTAATATCCGGTTTTGCTGTCCATATTATATATAATTATTATTATATATATAATTATACATAATTATTATTATATATAATATATATGATTATTATTATTATATATAATATATTATTATTATATATAATAATATTCATCTGGCATGATTTTTTCCATTTCAGATTATTGTATCGTATCTGTCAGGTTTTCATCAATCGTCAACTCTAAGTAACCTTGTTATTGTGTAAGGAGGAAGGGTCCAACAAATATGAGTTTTTTTTCGAACGTAACGTGCACGTAGAATCCGACGAGATCGCTTACGTCATGATATAAAAATTGAATAAGATATTACGCAATAGGAATTAGTACTAGCTACGCCTCCCTTTAAAAACCGTTTAATGCTACTTTATTTCCATATAAAGGCATGCTTTTCGTGAGATTCCTTAAATGGGAAGCGTAATCCAAGTTTAGTAAAGTGAACTTTCTTTTACAACATGATTATCTAATTTTATTATGAAGCACTAACATTAGACGTTTTCTTTGAATAAACGCTTGTCTAATTTAGGGTAGGATAAAAAATAAATCTAAATGGTTCTAATTTAGTACAGTTACTAATGGACAAATTTTTACCATAAAATATCAAAAATTGGACCCTTCCGCCGTGTGAATGCTTATTTATCGTAGAAACGGTTATATCGGACGGAATTAAAAAAATTGGGTCTTCGGAATTAAATCGTTTGTATATATTTAGTACACAAAAATTTTACTACTAAGCAGTTTTTATGAAAAATCTGAAATATTGCGAATTTTTTTAATATAAGAGTTTTTTTAAAATAACGCATTATATATGAAACCATCTCAAAAAGGGTCCGACGCAATTCATTTTCAGTAAGCCTCGTTCTTGGGACAACACACGTCACTGCGTCGAATTTTGTCAAAAAGTGTTAAAAAATTGCAGCTTGTGTGTAAATTCCATATAAGTACACATGGACAGACAGACAGGCAAGGTAAAATCAATTCAAAACATAAGTCTAAATCGATTGACATAATATAAAAAAAAGTGGATCTACTTTAAATCCTTCTGCGTATTTCATACATGCGCACAAACTTCATGTACACTGCACTACAAGTGACGTCAAGTAAAGAAAGAAGTTACACAAATGTGATAAAGTCGTTGAATTAAGTTTATTTTCGCCTTCGAAAATAACTCGTAACTTTTTTTGTTTTATTGTTATAAAAATTTTTAAAGAATTCATATACGCGCACAGATATACATGAATCTTGCAATCTTATTTCTGCGAAAAAACATAAAATATATATTTGTAATTACTATTAAGAGAGAGTAAAAAGAGAGAGTATAAAATAAAAAATTTAATTTTAACAATATTTCAAAACTAACTAATTATGACAGATTGTGGCAGACGACAAACGTCTTAATATAAGCACAGTAATAAAATTCAGTATTAGTACAGTACAGTGTAGTATTAGGTTTTATATTATCACTAAAAGATTTCTGTTTTCTATTTAGCGGATCTGGGCAAAAATTGCGATATAATTACTTGCATATTCGTGTTCCTAGTTATTGTTACATTCCCATATAGAAAACGACTCCTCACTTTTTATAAATATCCCCTCATGTCAAATAAATAAATTATTTTAAAAAAAAATTGTCAACAGCTGTAAAACATAACAACGTCGCTTAAAATTATCCGTCGCAACGTTATTTCTTGTTACTTCAGAATTTTTGATGAATGTACTAATTAATCAACTAACTACTAAGGGTTTGTGGATTCGAAAAATATTTTGGTCAAACTTTATTTTACTGGAAAATCTTGAATTACTTTTCAAACAAATACAATGAACATATGAAAACCCAAAAGAGTGCTACACGTTTCTTATTATGTGCCTGTTTTTTATCTAGAAATAAAAGCTAAGATAAATCAAAGAAAATAAAAAGGGATTTTTTCATTTCAAATGCTAATCATTCTTTTATAAGTAAGATATTATACTTAAAAGTTACTTGGTTTTTACATGGAAAAGCCGGAACGCTATTTGAGAAGTGAACAAAGCTTACCTAGTATTTCTGTGAAAATAGTGGATGGGAAAATAGTTTGTCTTCTAATTAATAAAAAAATTTACAATTCGTATTATAAAACATTCACCCAAATACATAGCTCTCTCACTTGGATAAGTAATTGCGTTGAACTGCGCGTACATACAGTTAAGAGAAATTCCAATCGACACATGATGTTCACGATGACACATTCAATTTGGAAAATTGAAGTAACTGCAAAACTAGCAAAAACCAAAAAAAAAAAAGAAAGTAGTAATAAAATAAAAAAGTAGAAGACAGAATATAGAAATGAAAAGAGAGAGAGAGAAGGAGAGAGAAAGAGAAAAGGAACATCGTTAAAAACTTTATTTAATATTTATATTTACTAACACAAATGCTCACGAACACTTACAAAAAAGATAAATACATCCACATATTGCCTTAGATTGCCGAAGACAAAATGTATTGAATTTCTGTTAAAGACCGTGTCGCAAACAGACTGACTGTCTGTTGGAAGCGTTACGAAATCGTAAGACAACCGGTCGATATTAAGGCAATTTGCGGTCCAATTTATATGTGATTCTTCTTCTTACTTTTTTTTATTTCCCGCCTTTTTTTATTGTCATTCTTGTCAGTTGTCAACCAGAAGTATACGGTCCAAGTGCACGATGAATACGTGATGACGGGCAATACAGCGGTACTGAAATGTCAAGTAAGTTTACACATCAACACCATCCGAGAGAGAAAGAGAGACCATCACCACCATCGTCATTCTTTTCTTCTTATTTCACGTAAGATAAAACCTTTACTATGTATATACATATACGTATTTTTTTTAATGATAATTTTTAGTTTTCAGTTTTTCAGTTGTCATCTGCACTTGTGTCCACATTCTAATTACATTTTAAACTTTATTTAAAAAAAAAAGAAACAGAAAACTGTATTTCTTTTGCTTTTTTCAATTTTATTGTCACTACGGTTACTATATTTCTCTATAGCATACAGACAGATTCTAGAGACAGAGAAATTTTCATTTAAGTTTGTTGAAATTGAATTATATATCTTTTTTCTGTCTACATTCTCCTGTTCCGACCTATAAACTCCTTACTCCTCATACTATTTTTTATTTTTGAATTTGATTTCACATAATTGAATTTTTCTGTTTGCTGTCTTTATCAACTTGGATTTGTTACTCTGATATCTTCTATCTCTCTCTTTCTCTCCATTTAACATTCTTCACTCCTCGGAGCTGATGGTATATTAGTTCTGTCATTTCCCTTTTAAAATCCAAAAATACTTACCGTAGACCCATAAAAACAGTTATTCACGGCAGCGTGAGTCAATTTTATTGTGTCCATCCGTTTTACGAAACTCGATTGATTCCCCGTGATTAATTGGAAAACTAACAAACACAACGGGAATTGAATGCAGTCAGTTATAGGCACTGCAAACAACTCTGAATTGAAAATTAATCTAACTTTACGCAATCGCGCTTAGGCTTAATGTCAAATAAGTGACTTTAATGTTAATCTTAAAACAACTTAAAGGTACAAAAAGGACTGAAATGAAAATATTCCCAGTTAGCCTTCACTGAATGTTGCTCAAATTGGTCATGCAGCCTAAGAGCACATACCTAAAGCACGTACGCAAATTATAATACCCATAATATGTTTATAGTCCAGATGGTAGGTATTCTGGATTCGCTTTGAGGCGAAACTAATTTTCTTATTTGCTCTCACTTATATTTTTTTGAGCACCTCTCATACTTTGTGTTTTTGTTGCTATATCTTTATGCCAGGTGCCAAGTTATATGTCAGAATTTGTTATGGTCACCGCTTGGGTTCAAGACACCGGTATGCATTTATATCCCAACACAGATATTGGTGGCAAATACACTGTTCTGGCTAATGGTGAATTGTACATAAATAACGCTGGCACCAATGATGCGTACAAAAGCTATACATGCCGTACTGTAAATAGATTAACGGGTAAGTCATTGAAATAATGAAAATATTTAACATCAGCACATCTAATGTCGAGAAATTACAAATATTTGATATAAGATTTCAATAACTATCGTGTGGCCAATGAGTGGATGGGGTTATTGAAGAAAACGTTTTATCGAAGATGCCCTGAAATCCGAAATAGATATCCATCTCCAAGAAATTGTTATTTACTTAATAAATTTGAATTTATTCGAAGATGAGATAAAGCCGCCTAAGTAGATTATAGACGCTTTGCAAGCAATATTGTCCGTTTAGAGAAGTAGTCGCAGTTTTTTTATATTTATCTGAAGATTTTTCGATATACGATGACATTGAACATAAAAATCGAATTTGAATTATTTTAAATTCATTCAAACCAGGGCCAGTGAACTACCGCCGTTGTTAAAGTCAGTAAATTTAAAACTAATTCATGCAAAGTTGAAATAAGATGATGCGATGGTTATGCTTATGGAAAAAATCGTCGTTAAAAATTGTAACAAAACAATTGCTTAAAGGTTTTCAGGTGTAAACTCCGTTCTTTTCAACGGATCGAACCTTGATAAAGCACAAGTTTCATGACAGCAAAATACCAAAAACAAAATCTACAAATTTTATGTTAGGAACGTGAGACTGACTATTAAAAACTACCCCAACTTACACAAATATTCCCACATCATAGCCAACGGCAAATACATCACGTCGTATGCTGCTGGACACTAGAATTACGGCTTAAGTTATGAACAAGTAAGAACGTTATAATCGGGTAAGATCGACGATTTACTACCTTATACCAATTCTAGTACAATTATTCACTCGTTTTGGTAATAACATAGCAACCCGTGTAGTTAAGGATGCCCATAACATCATATGATGTGATACAAATTTAGCAAACTGCATTTCGTCATAAAAAACCTTATAAATGTTAAGGTGTAAAAAATAGGTCTATGAAATCCAAATTGCTTACTGCTAATTTATTTACTACTATAGACCAGTTTTCATCATAAACTTTTTCCGCAGTGTTCAGCATTCATAACAAGGGATTACATGGATTAGGGTCCAAAAAATAGGCCCATATGGTTTAAATTTGGTCCGCCTAATTTTTATGTCGAATTATTATCATAAACGAATTTTCATTATAAAACTTTAACAATTAGTCTTTTTGGCATATAAAGTTTATATTTCCTGAAAATTCGAGAAGGTTGATTTACTATAAAGATCAAGTTTTCATCATGAAATATTGAAAATTATACATTTTTATCATAATAATTACTCCAGTCGAATCGAATTTTTTATATCAAGTTAGAATGCCGAAATATTCAGTGACTTTTGTCGAAAAATTTTGAAAATTGCATTTTGCTTGCTAACAACGCCTTTTCAAAATAAGACGTTATATGGTTAGTGGTCGAAAAAGTTTACCGACTATTTTCAACAGCATTCGTCCTGGGTCAAAAGTTGATAATATAAAAATAAATAAAATATCTCGAAAGTTGCGACCTGTAGGATAAACAAAATAATCATGGGCACACATCATACGAACAAATACGTTTACATATCGATTGGTTTAATAAAAGTTGAGTATATCTTAAGTTCTTCTGGATATAATATACATCTGCACAAATTTAATATACCTGTATCACGAAGTGTGTACATATAGAAAATAATACTTGCTGTCATTTTCTGACAAGCTAATTTTTATTGAGAGAAAATTTTATGGAATATGGTAAGTATGGTAAGGAATGAGTAAGCGTAGTCGACCTATATTAGCCGCAGCTTCCTCTGGACATAGCATTACATGGTATTTGCCTTTCGATGTCTAAAAAACAAAAGAACCATTGTATTGAGGAATAATTTAAGGATTACGCCAATTTTCAAAAATTGTCTTTTCAGAGAAAGATTTTGTATTTGAAAAGTCCATCGAAAAGATAGCTTCTTCATTCTTAATAACGGTATGAAAGGCACTTCGAGAGTGAGGTTTCTATTTTTAATGGCTTTTTAAAATAATGGGTAAATGGGTTGCGCTGCAAACTTAAAGTGGCTTTAAGAATATTCATTGAAATGCACGCTCTTACTATATAAATGCATACAACGTATTCAACGTATGCAACAATGTGTGTGAACGTGTAAATAGTAACGACGTTGGGTCAATAAATCCCTTTAATCACTCCATCATTAGGTATAAAAGGCTTCCTGCGTTTTTAGTCGATTGGACAGCAGTAGCTACAACGATTATTTAACATTTACATTAACAATGCCGACAATTTTGTTGAAAAATTAATCAATCAACATGTCAATTAAATCAGTTCACTCATTGCATACATGAATATTGATAGCATCTTTAAATGTGTATTCTACGATATTGATTCAATTTACATAAAAATTTAAGCTAGTGATGTATGAGCTAAATTTTTACTATAACTAGGTAACTTCGCAAATTTCAGCTTATATTATATGTCCACTCGCCATAAATCTCTATATAAATATTTCAAAACAAATTTTCTATAATATATTGAATATTAAAACTTATAGCAAAATGGCAACTCTGTGCAAGCGCTGTGGTCATACTTTTCTCTTTGTGCAAAAAATATTTTGCAATTTCTTCTTTTATATTATTTCTTTATTGCTTTATACTTTTTTAAAAGTGTTCAAATTTATTAAAATATATTGAACTTTTTGTGTGTTTGTTGCTAAAACTGATGTGCCGGAAGATGAAATTGTTCGCGAAATGGGCAATCAAGGAGTGACTGAAGTATATAAATTCACCAAACTGAATGATGACGGAAAAACTCGCTCTCCTACAGGAAGGATTATTATAACCTTTGATCGCTATCGACTACCGCGAACAGTTGATGTGGCGTAGTATAAATGTAAAGTAGAACTATACATTCCAAATCTCATGAGGTACAAAAATTGCCAACGCCTGGGTCATACGGTAAAAAAGTGCACCAGTGTTCCATCTGGTGCTAACTGTGGTCAACACTCAGCGTTAGACAAACAATGCCTACGTTTTGTACAGATACATGAAATATTAAAAATCAAAACAGAAAATTACTGTAGCATGGACGAAGCACGACGCAAATACCGGGATAGAAATCCATCTGTAGCCCAAGGAATTGGCAAAAGTAATACCTACGTTGCTGTTGTCTCGCAAATCGAGCCTAATAAGCCTTTAACTCCAACTCCTTCCAATGAAAAACCTGTTCCACCATTAACCAAAAATTATATTGCGAAACCAGTTCCATCACCCGCTAAAGATAATATTGAAAAAACCAAACCAACACCAAATATTAAAAAAATTAAAACAACAACATGTATGCTAAAATCTAACAAACTAAGTTTCCGAGAATCTCCAGCTCTCAACTCTAGTCAACAAATTACAAGCTGTAATGAATCCAATATCCATCCAAAATCCATTCTTTTATCCATTAATAAACCTTCAATTTCAAATTAGTCACGCGGGCCCGCTCGTTGCGCTTCAAATGTACCAAACCACCTAAGTACAGATTATTCAGCTGGTAAGAATAAAAAATAAAAAAATCATTCACGCAAAATTCCTATAGCGACCTTCTCGACGGAGACGCTGACATGTTAACTTAACCCCCCTTCCACTAGGCTTCCATGTCAATACAATTAAATAAAGTTTTTAAAATTCTACAATGGAACATTAAGGGACTTCTTAATAATTTTGATGAACTCCGTACACTCGTAACTGATCTCAGTCAAAACTTTATATCGCTTCAAGAGACCCATTGTGAAATCTCTTTTAATCCTATTCCACCCAAATCATATACTGGATATTTCACGAATGCTGATCAAAATTTATATTCCAAACAAGGAGTTGGCGTTTTTATAAAATCAAGTATACCTCACAAACGCATAAATTTAAGCTCAAATATACAAGCCGTAGCGATACAAATAATGTTAAACATAAAATTTACAGTGCTTTCGCTCTATATTCCACCTTTGCAATCGGTTTCTCAGCAAGAACTCTACAATTTATTCTCCGTATTCTATTGGGAAAGATTATGGCATCTAGATTATCTTGCTTTCTTGAGTCCAAGAACCTGATAACAACTCAACAAGTTGGTTTCAAGCGGGATAGAGGGTGCGTCGACGCTCTTTTACATATTGTGTTTTTTACGAGCAAAGCAAATTCCGAACGAAATCATGTAACAATTCTCTCAATTGATTTCGAAATAGCATTTGACAGAGTTGGTCTTCATGTTATTTTAAGACTCTTGAAATCATGGAATGTTGGACCCAAATTCTTCAACTACATCAAATCATTCATGTCGCATCGGCGGTTCAAAGTTAGAATCAACAATCATCTCTCTGACTCCTTTCCGCTAATGAATGGCATTCCGCTAGGATCTCCTCTCTCTGTCACGCTTTTCCAGATCGCCTTCAAGGAAATTAGAAAAATTCTTTGCCGTGTACCAAGAGTGGAAAATTGTCTCTACGCGAACGATTTATACATTTTTACAAAAGAAAAAGACAACACGAAAGCAATGAACATCCTCGAATCTATTGGACGAGAGATCTCCACATGGGCAAACTCTTCAGCGGCTAAAATTTCTATACAAAAATCAAAAAAAATGCACATGTGTCGAAAACAAATGTGCGATGCAGGAAATCTACTGATGCATATTAACGACTTACCAGTACTACACGTGCAAACGCTCCATGCTGTCGGGCTCACGTTTTCCAACAATTATCGTTGGGAAACACACTGCCTTCGTTTAAAAAACTCTCTTTTAACAAGGGTAAATTTCATACGGTACGTTGCTTGGAGAAGCCATAAGCATATCAACACTATTGCTTATCTTACTAAAATGCTTGTGTTAAGCAAGATTAACTATGCTTTGATAATTTACGGCAATAGCTGCAAATCTAATATCAACATCCTTAAACCGGTCTATCACCAAGCAGTCAGAGCTAGTTGTTATGCTTTTCGGACGACGCCCATAAATAATATTATAATTGAAACTGATCTCCCAACTTTAAAA